CTTCCACACCAGCTGGGAAGGCTGGCTCCAGGCCCTTGCGCCCTCCCTCCCCGACTGGCAGAGACCAATCCCCCTTCCTCTCAGTTCTAGGCAGAAGCAGGGTGTGCGTGTGTGTTTTATTAATTTATGTGAATACATAATTGACTCACATGGTACAGAATTCAAAAGGGTAGGTAATAAACAGTAACTCGGTCTGTAGCCTTTTCTGGAGGCAACCATTGTTACTAGTTTCTTGTGTATTCTCCCAGAGATATTTTAGGGATTGATAAACAAATACGTATATATTTGTTTGTATACTATGTATATCTTTTTGCATATCCTACACATGTTGTAGTATACTGTATCTATATTCTGCCTTTTTTTTTTTCAGCTTAGCACCATGTCTTGGCACCCCTGCAGTATCAGCCCGTAAAGAGCTGCCTGATTCTTTGTAACTGGGGCATGATGTCCACTGCATGAAAGGACTAACATTTAGCCGGCCCCTGAGGATGGCCATTTAGGGTTGTTTCCATTTTGCTCTCATGAGCAGTGTGACAGTGGGTACCCTTATTTGTATGTCATTTCTCACTTGTGGGAGTGTACCTGTAGGGTAAAATTTTAGAACTGAAATACAGGTCAGAAGTGTGAAAAGCCATGATTTTTTAAAATTTAATTTGGTTTTTTTAACTTATACAAAACATATCTGTTTAAGTCAAAACTGTATTACGAGTATGGTCTCACTACCATTCCTGTCCCTTCCACCCTGTCCCCCCTCATATGAAACCAGCAAGTGTGGGCATATACATGTATGTATATTTGTCTCTCACCTTCTTACGTGTAATAGTAGCTTTCTCTGCCTATACATATATGTATATTTGTCTCTCACCTTCTTACGTGTAATAGTAGCTTTCTCTATATGCTGTTCTGTCCCTTGAATGTCTGTCCTGAAATTTCAGAGAGAGCCATCTTCAAGATACTGAAGTTAAAACCCAAGAACAGATAGCCCCCAGTGAAGATTTTGACCTGGGATTGACCACGGCCAGCCCAGTACCCTGGGGCGGGCGGGTCCTCAGCTGTAACGGTCTTGAGCCACTGTCTCCAAGGACTTGCCCAGCCCTCTCAGGCACCAGGTGCTGGCTAAGCACTTGTCAGCATGACCTCATTTAATCCCCAGGACAATACTTAGACCCTCCTGTCCCTTCCAGCACCATTGCCCTCCTTGCTCTGTGACCTGAGATCCCCTACCTGCCCTCTCTGAGCTGCCAGCTTTCTCATCCCAGACTGCACTAGGGTTTTCTCTTTTGTCTCTCCCGGGGGTTCCTGTGGCTCCCCACACCTAGAAGGGCCCTGCCTTTGCCTCTTGTTGTCTTTCTCTCTATCTTGCCAGGTTTGTCCAAACTATGTTCATCCACCAGTCAGAACTTGTTCTCCTTTTTGCCTGGTGACCAGTTTTTAGATTGCAGCAGGATCGGCAGACAGTGAAATGCACGTAGCTTAAGTGCCAGTCTGATGAATTTTTAAATTCATTAAGCTATATGTACATCAATATAACCAGCACTTAAGTCAAGATACAGAATGTTTTCATCTCCCGAAAAGGTCCCTCGTACCCTCTGCCAGTTAGTGTCTTCCACCCTGAGGTAACCATTATTCTAACCTCTATCCCCATGGATCAGTTTCGCCTGTTCTTGACCTTCGTGTAAGAGGAATCCTACAGGATATAGTGTCTGGTTTCTTTCACTCAGCATAATGTTTCTGAGATTCATCCAAATTGTTACAGTATCGGTAGTTCATGTCTTTATATGAATAGGCCACAATTTGTTCATCCATTCACCCGCTGATGGAGATTTGAGCTGTTTCTAGTTTGGAACCTTTATGAATAAAGCTGTTATGATAATTTTTGTACAAGTTTTCTTGTATACATAGGTACTCATTTCTCTTGGGTAGGTTCCTTGTATACATATGTGCTCATTTTTCTCAGACAGGCTTGGGTAGGAGTGGAATTGCTGAGTCGTAGGGTAGATGGATGTTTAACTGTGTTAGAAGCTGCCAACTAGCTTTGCACCGTCATCACGATGCGTTGCACTCCTCACCACCAGCATATGAGAGTTCCGGTGCTGCTCCCTCCCCGCCAGCACTTAGTATCATCAGTCTTTTTTTGTTTTAGCCATTATGATAGGTGTGTAGTGGCCTCTTACTGTGGTTTTAATTTTCATTTCTCTGATAAGGAATGTTGAGCACATTTTCATATATTGACCCTTTTGTGCAGAGTTTATCAAAGTCTTTTGCTCATTGTTTTTATTGTGTTGTTCATCTTTTATTGATAGGTAGGAATGCTTTATATATTCTGGATATGAGTCCTCTGTCAGAATCTATGAATATTTTCTTCTTTTGCTTTTTTACTTTTTCTTTTTTTCTTCTTCGGTATGAAGAAAAGAAGTGAAGGTGGTGAGGGGAGGGCCTCTTGGGGAGAGGGACTGATTAGGGTGTCATGGAAGGCTCTTAGGAGAGGTGACATCTTTTATTTATTTATTTTTGGCTGCATTGGGTCTTCATTGCTGCGCGCGGGCTTTCTCTAGTTGTGGCGAGCGGGGGCTACTCTTCGTTGCAGTGCGCGGGCTTCTCATCGCAGTGGCTTCTCTTGTTGCGGAGCACGGGCTCTAGGTGGGTGGGCTCAGCAGTTGTGCCACAGCATTTCTACTTGCCCCTGCTCCTGGCTGAGCCTGGCATCTGCCCGTGGTAGGATTAGTTGTCCTTGTGGTTTCTGAAGGGACACCCTTTCCCACGGGAGTAGCAAAGGGCTCCCCATCTTCTGGGACTTTGGTCAAGTTACTCAACAGCCTCAGGTTCTTTCCCTTAAATGGGGGTGGTGGTACCTCTTCGTGGGGTTCAGCCATGTTCCCAGCATGTGTCCAGCGAGAACCCTCAGTTGCAGGCTCCGGAAATACAGAATCACTACCCTGTGGTGCCCAGTGATGGGGGGACAGACAGCAAGTAAAGAAGGTAGTCAGCAGGATGACCCCAGGTTGTGCTAAGGGCTCCACTGGGGTGAATGGGTGCTGAGGTAGACACTGGGAGGGACCTCTGCATCAGTGCCTGGAGTCCGTCTCCTGCTGCCCATCTTCCTCGGTTCAGGAGCACCACTCGGCCTCTTCCGTCCCTCAGAACTGCAGATGTCCAAGGTGCACAGGGTCCCAGGGAGCCATTCCATCCAGCCTCCCGACCCTCTGCAGTGCAGCCCTTTTCCCTGCTCACTGCTTTAAAATCCTTCCAGCAAACATTTGCGGAGCGCCCCCTGTGCCAGAAACCCAGGAAGTCTTGGGAATAAGACAGCCTAGGTCTTTTTTTTTTTAAATTAATTAATTAATTAGGCTTGCGGCACGGGGGCTCTTCGTTTTCGCGCGCGGGATCTTTAGTTACGGTGTGTGGGCTCTTAGTTGCAGCATGTGGGATCTAGTTCCCTGACCAGGAACTGAACCCAGGCCCCCTGCATTGGGAGCGTGGAGTTTTAACCACTGGACCACCAGGGAAGTCCCAAGACAGCCTAGGTGTCGACCTCGTGGCACAGTAGCTTCTAGCGGGGCTCAGCGGTCAGTGAGCAAGAAAACCCCACGAAGGTTTCTCAGAGTTCTGAGCTTATGAAGACGGTGAGACAGGTGATGAGGGACGTACCTGGGTGTGGCAGGCAGCGGCTAATGGGGTACTCCAGGGAAACCACACTGGCCACGGAGCAGTGACGTGCTGGTTACTAGCAAGAGGGTGGCACCATGCAAAGATCCCAGAAGGATCTTTGCAGTGGGAAGTCCTTGGAGGCTGAATGGGTAAAATGTTTCCCTACCCAGGTACTGCTAGGGAAGGGGTGGCTGTACCTACCTGGAGTAGGCGGAGATCTTTGCCAGGCCTGCGCCACTTCCCTGCACCTGTCCCCTCTTGCTGGGAAAGAGGTCCTAGTTGGGTTTTGCCGGGCGTGTGGGGAGGTCCCCCCTTTGCTTGTTTCTAGAGATGCCGGGGAAGTGGGTGGGCTGTAACTCACTCCTGATTGGACACTCAGTACTGGTCGGCCATGTTATGCAAATGAGCTAGAAGTTCGTTCTCTACTTGGAGTAGGAACCTAAGGGTGAGGGTGCCCTGATGGCAGGAAGCTCACTCAGGACCCACGAAGATCCGCTTCCCACATCGAGTGCTTTAGGCCTGACGGGAGAGAATGAGGGGTCTGGGCATCTTACCTGAGCAGTGGTTCTTAGATCCAGAACCACGGGTCTCTCACTCTGTCCTTTTCTTTTGTCCCCCAGATTCCTAGCAATAGTGATGTGGGAATGATGCTGAAATGCTTTAAACTCTCAATTATGCTGTTTCCATAAAATGGTGGACTGCACAGCTATTAAATGATGCCATGATTGTAGATTTATTGGCGTGGAGAGATGTTCACAGGACATGGTTAAATGAAAACAGCTGGCTTACAAAACAATAAGAGTATCACATTGTCATTAAATATTTATATGTAGTCACATTTAAAAATTGTGCGATGAAAAACATGTTAAATGGGTGGTAGGATTAAGGTGGTTTATATTTTGACTTCTAATATTTTTGACAGCTTTATTGAGGTATAATTGGCACATAATAAGCTTTACATACTTAAAGAGTATAACTTGATAAGTATTGACATGTGTACACCTGTGAAACCATCACCGTACCTATATTTCTTAATTCTTCTAAAGTGATGATACACTGTGGGTTTTATGTTTTCTACTTAAAAAAAATAAACAGGAAAGCCTGTCAGTCATTGAGCTGGCTGAACCAGGAGGGAAAGGGATCAGTGCCCACTTCCAGAAGGTTGGGCAGTGGAGGGCAGGCAGGCCTTTCTGGAATCTGGAAAGGGAGGGCTGGAGATCAGAATAGACTTGGGATCCCTTGTCCCTGGGCCACCTTCTCAGGCCTGGACCTTCCCTGGGACTCAGTGGGCAGAGGAAAGATGGAAGGAGGCCCAGGGCTAAGGCATCCAGACTCACCTTGCTCTTCCCCAGGAGGCCTCTGCAACCTGTGCTCAGACAGGGCCAACAAGGAGCACATCCTGCAGACTGGGGGTGTCCCACTCATCATCGACTGCCTGTCCAGTCCCAACGAGGAGACCGTGCTGTCCGCCGTCACCACGATCATGTACCTGAGCTCGCCGGGCTCCAGCTCCCACCCTGAGCTGACTGCCATGCCCGTGGTCCAGTGCATGGTGCGCTTCTCCCTCTCAGCCAACGCGAGGCTCCGGAACCTGGCCCAGATCTTCCTGGAAGACTTCTGTTCCCCCAGCCAGGTGGCCGAAGCCCGCAGCTGGCGGGCTCACTCTGCCCTGGGGATCCCACTACCAAGGACTGAGGCCCCGCAGCAGCCCTGATCCAAGGAGCCCTCAGGCTGCGGCACCGGCACTGCCAGAGACAAGACCAAAATCCCTGTGGGGACTCAGGAAGTGGGAGCAGCAAAGCTCCCACTGTGCACGTTCTCCCCAAATGGTGCTTTGTCAGCCACTTTAAAGGCGAGTTTTCTCAGCGGGACAGGTGTTTACACTGTGATGAAAGGCACCAGGAGATGAGTGAGGAAGCCATACTTTGAGACACGTGGAGAAGGAAATTGAAGGGTGCCGTTTTGACAGGCTGACGCTCTCAACCAGCTAGAGGCAAAGGTCCTGCCTCCTGGCCCACCCCGCCACCAAGCTGTCACCCTCGTGTGAGAAGCAGCATGTCCCTAGACCCAGAGGCTCTGCAGATGGTGTTTCTCCTGAGGAACAGCTGGGCCTGGGGCTTAGGAGAATTGCCTGAGCTTGAGGAAATAGGCATCATACCTTAACAGAAGTGTCGGGAGTAATTCTGAGAAATAGAAATGAGAAGCCTTGTTGTTAAAAGTACTTCGGGGCCCTGGGAAGCTGGGGAAGTGTTGTGTCCACTGCTGTGGAGGCCGGGTACCTGTCCTGCAAGCTCTCCAGGCTGGGTGTTGGGCATGGTGAATGCTGGCCTGGAGAACTCTGTGGCCCAGGATTACACAGGCCTATCAGCCAGGGACCATGTTAGGGCTTCAAAGACGAAGACGTGGTTCCTGATCTTGAGTGTCGCAGCCCAGTGACTGTTAACATGGCCATCAGGCATTAAGACGGAGGCCATGAGGGTGACACATTAGAATACAGGCGCAAACTGTTCGAGCTGTTGTCTTTTCCCTTCACCACTCCATGGTACGTGCCTGGAAGCCCTGGCCTGCCTTCTCTGCCATCAGGGTTAGTGAGGTTGGGGGGGGGGGTCCCTGTCCCTGGAAATCTGTCTCAGGCTGGCTTCGGGGATGCAAATAAGAGAGGTGCTCAAGGGAGATGGGACCAGATACTGACAGCAAGTGAATGGCTCAGAGTCTAGTGTCAGCTGCTCAGCACGGGGGAAAGGGTGTGGGCCCCCTTGGAAAGGTGGGGTTCAGGAGCAGTGGAAGGTCCTGGCCTCCCTTAAGGATGACCTCTTTTTTTTCTTTTTTAAAATTTTATTTATTTTTGGCTGCATTGGGTCTTTGTTGCTGCGCACGGGCTTTCTCTGGTTGCAGCGAGCGGGGGCTACTCTTCATTGGGGTGCACAGGCTTCTCATTGCAGTGGCTTCTCTTGTTGCAGAGCACGGGCTGTAGGGCGCGCAGGCTTCAGTAGTTGTGGCACGTGGGCTCAGTAGTTGTGGCTCGCGGGCTCTAGAGCACAGGCCCAGTAGTTGTGGCGCAGTTGCTCCGCGGCATGTGTGATCTTCCTGGACCAGGGATCGAACCCGTGTCCCCTGCACTGGCAGGCAGATTCTTAACCACTGCGCCACCAGGGAAGCCCAAGGATGACCTCTTACATGGCCAAGGAAAGGCAGATTCGAGAGGCATGGTTTCCAGGTGGACGTGGAGGTGGGCAGACTATGGAACTAATGGACTAAGGAGACGAGACGGAGGGAGGTGAAGGCCTCCTCATTGGCCTCTGTCCCAGCTGCCCCTGTGGGGCTCCTGTTCCTTCGCTTCCCCAAAATAAAAGGCCATAAGAGAGCAGTGAGCCAAAGTGTTTTATTAAAAAGTTTCCTGATTTTCCCACCATGTTTCCAGGCCAGCTCTGCCAGGAGGGTTCAGGTGGCTGGCACAGTGCTGAGGGGTCATTGCCATGATGCTGCCCTGTCGCTCAGTTCTGCCCGGGCTCGCTGCTGGTCTGCCTTCCATCAGCTACTGTCCACGGCCATGGCCCCTCACCTTATTCCTGGGGCGGCCCCAGGCCGGTTCGGTCCCGCTGCAGGGCTCCCCGCTTGCTGTCTATAATCTCCTTCCAGTTGTCCCTCCAGGAGAGCAGCCGTCTCCGTGGGGGGGGCAGGGCCAGGTGCTGGTTGTGGCAGCAGGTGAACAAGATGTGCTCCCAGCTTGGGGTCTCCTCTTGGCCTGGGACAGGACACGGGAGGAAGGCAGGGATACACTCTGTAATCTGGTTATTTTTACTCCCTCTCCCTAATCCCAGCAGGCTAGATGCCTGGAGGTTGCTAGGGAAAAGGGCTCCTACCTTGAATGGTGTCCTTGTCATCAATGAGCAGGTCCCCCAAGACCACCGTCTTGTCCCTCGTCAAGATAATGCGCTCCACAAACTGGGGCCCCAGGTGCTTCTCCACCCAGTGGTACTGTGAGGTGGGCATAGGTGGCTCAGTAGGGCCTGACGGGCCCTTGAATTCAGGGCCAGTGAGCAAGTAGGTGTGAGGGAGGGTCTACAGCAGCTCATGAGAGAGATGGCTCCCCCCTACCCCCCCACCCCCACACCCGACTGTCTCTGTTTCTGCCGCTTTCTTTAAAAGATCAGGGCTTAGGAGCCTAAGTCTGCGGGTGAAGTGCTGGGGCAGCCGCACCTTCTCGTGCACACAGTGGTCATACTTCATCAGAGGGCTGGTGCAGATGAAGACCTCGGTACTGCGGGGGTGGGGGGGCGGTTAGACAGGGTGGTGCCAACCCCTGCTCCCCACCCCCCTCCCTCCCCGCCCTTCCTCACTCCTGCATGTCATTCATCTCCCGCATTGCTTCCAAGGCTCCAGGGATGGGCTCCAAGTCTAGGAAAAAGCCTGGGGCTTCATACACACTGGCCACTTTGTCCTGAAAGATACAGTGTTCCTGTCCTGGCTCTGATCCCAGCAGACCTCTCCAGCCCCAGCGAGGACTCTCAAAGTGAAGTTCCTGGGGGGGCTTCGGTCCCCAAATCAGAGTGTCAGGTAGAGGACTTTGTTCAGGGGTAAGTACTCCCCCAGACTGTCTAGTCCTGAGGTGAACTGTGGATTCTGAAGTGAGAGCTTTGTTAATTTTAAACAGGAAGGTGTCACTGGACATGGAGCAGAGACAGTCCTGACCCAAGGGGAAGTCTCCCCACTCCCAGGTGTCCTGTGGGGTCGGGGCTCCCCGCTCCAGGGCGGCCCCATGCCGCCGCCCCCCGCCCCCCACTCCCTACCGCCAGGTCCGGGCGCAGGGCTCGGTACTGCTCGCAGGCGAGGAAGCCGCGGCGCTCCTGCAGCGGCACGTGCGGCTCCCGGGGGAAGCTTCGGCGGAAGCCCCGCAGGAGGCCGGCCTCGAAATCCGCCAGAACGCCGTCCATGTCCACCAGCACCCGCACTGGCCGCCCGCGCCGCGCAGCCATCTGCATCGCCATCGCTGCGAGGCAGGCGGCCCGGCGGAAACGTGGCCCCGGGAGCCGCCGCGCGGAGCTGGACGAGGGCACTGCAGCTTCCGGAGCCGTGGGGTGGGCGGGCTCGACCGCGGCTGATTTGCATGGGCAGCCCCGTTTCGGGGGGCGGGGCCGGCGTGGCGATGGCTTGGGCTGCTTTCTGGTCTGAGGACGCACCTACGTGCACATCAGCAGTCTTCCACGCTGTAGCAGACGTCCTCGCTCACGCCGAATGTTACTCGGGGCAGAACTTCCAGGGGCCCGACAGGAGGGACTGTCCTAAATACTGGGAAGCGTCGTCTAACAAGGAGTGAAGCCTCCTTAAACCTGAGACGCCATACCTGCGCACCCTGCTGTGGGGACCGGAGCAGAGCTTCCAACCCGTCAAGGCAGCACCAACCCACGGCCCGAATCACGGGGACTCCCAGTAACGGTCAAAAGTGAATGAATCTGCTGAAGACAACTGGTTCGTGTGAGCAGAGCTCCTCAGAGACGAATTCATAAACCAGAGTTGGCGTGAAACATGGGAGCATCTGCTTTAAACATCCAGTTCCACCGGAAGAGGCGATTTTACCACCAGGCTCAGGTAATCGGGACAATCCTTTTTGTGGAACTGACAGGTCTCTAGAATTGGCAGTTCCATCCTCCTCTAGAAAATGCTTAGCATTGCTGAGTTTTGTTGACTCTCCTTTTTGTAGATTTCACGCAATTTCCTGACTACATGTAAATATATTTACCTACAAACTAGATTCAGATTTGAGTAAGTGACCCATCTTCCTGTAGTTCCCCACCTCAGCACCCCAATACGTCTAAACCCAATGGAACAGAAGCATAAGGAAGGGGAGCCTGGCGATCTAATTTTAAAATGCTAAAGAGGTAGAATAGACATCAGCAATAAACACCAAGCCACTTGAGACACATAACTCTGTAAAAAGTCCACACTGTCAACAAAATGCTGATTCTTCTGCCATCGTCATCATTTTAAGATCATTCAACTTCATCTTCTAAACACTAAGCTTTCTAACTGGAAAATTCAACACCCTTAGCAAACATGTTTACATAGAATTTTTAAAAATCTGTAATAGTACCAAAATGACTGGCAGAACACCTTTAGGCTGGGCACTTACCTTCACAGAATTAAAAAACTAAAGCCAAGTTACAAGTTGTGACACAAATCAGGGACCTCTCTTGCCCAGGAGCTCCACCATTACTGAGAGAGAAGGGTGCAGGTTCCCTATCTCTGAAGTCATGACAAACCGTAACTCAGGTGATTGGTAGGGCTAACCTGTTCTGGTGAACCTGGAAAGACTGTGTAGCACAGCTGTTGATTTTCCATTTTGCAAATACTTTACACAGTAAGGGAGAAACACTTAACACCTCCACAACCTATGGTCACCCTTATTCTTCCCAAAGACGTGCCCAGTAAGTCAGAATAGCTGGTGGTTATACACTAGGTTTGAGTCATTTCAGTCATGGGAAGGTTTTTAGAGGTGACCTCATTCAAAAGTCTTACTTTTAAGTTAGGAAACTGAGCTCCCAAATGACAAGCCCAAGGCACATAGCTGGTCGGTAGCACAGCTAGACCTAAAAAGCCGATTTACAGTGCCCAAGTTGGACACTTAATATAGCATGTTGGTCTGGAACTTTCTGCCTAGAACCTAGTGAGCTTTCTCCCATCTTCTGTCTCCTGTATCACTTGAGAGGACTCAGATGACCCTGTCCCCTTCTATCTACGTGGACCCTTCCTTTCTTTGGAGCCTTCTTCTCTGACCACCCACCATTGAGAAGCACCCTACAGGCATGAGAGGACTTGAAATTTTGAATGTTAGCACCCAGCACAGGAGGGTAGGTGGTAGAAGAGTGTAAAGGGTATTGGCTAATAATTATTCTGGATACCAATTATCCATATTATTCCTGTATTTTATTACCAGAGAGCCATTAATTTTCATTTTGGCATTCTGAACTCGTGCTCTCTGACTTGAAAGCTGCTTTCTTTAGAGAGAAGCCCACTTCTCTCTGGGCCTTCGTTAGTGTGTTTCAACTTTAATGGCTCATCAAATCATTGGGCAACAAGGTTGATAGTAACAAAGAAAAAAGCAACTAAGCAAGTAGAACTCCTGAAACAATCTCAAAAAGATGACACAGGACACTGTTTCAAAATTTGTACATTGTTTACTTTAAGCAACAGTCCAGGATTGTGAAGTACAACACACATTTTAAGGATGAGACTTTCTTTCATGGTCAAGCACCAGCATCATGCACACAGCTTCAAGTTATCTAAGGAGAGCACTGCCCCCGGGGCCGGGGGGGGGGGTCCCTTCACCAGGAAGTCCCACTTCCATGTGGTCCCCACCCCTGCTTCACCACCTGGAGTTCGTCAGTCTGAGCGTACAGCGAAGCCTCCCTCTGCGTGGGAGCAGCAGGCTTTGCTCAGCCAGCCAAGTTAGTATCTGGCTGAAATATTTCTCAAGGTTCAGAAATGAAAGGCAGTTGTTTGTTGTGTTTTGCTTTGCAGGCAGCAAGGCATGGGGCGCAGGCCTCTGTCGCTCCATATGGCGCAGGAAGATGCTTTTTGCAACGGGCACTGACAAGTTAGGGCAACACCAGGTAGGCTCAGCATCAAGACAACTTTGTTTGGGGGCCTGAAGGGACAGCGCCTGTGGACCGTTTACTGGCCTGTCCGATCCAGGCTTGGTAAACCCTAGTAAAGCTGATAAGAAAAGGGTTTTAAAAACCTCAGTACAAAAGATCCTCTAACACATTTGAAACCAATTTATCTGTTCTTAAAAACACGGTACTAAGTGTCACAAAGCTTTCCCTCCAATCTACTACTAGAAAACTCTCATGCCAAGGCCTATAGACCCAGAGGAATCAGGACAGACAGAGAACCTGTTCTTCCAAAATAAAAAAAGACAGCAGTACATAAAGTGCTTCTTTTTTAATGAAACAAATCCAAAACATGTACAGTCAGGCTCAAGTTGTGCAGTTCACAAGCATGGAGAAAACAAAGAAACGAAACGACAGAGTTCAGGGCAGACGGAGCTAACCCAGGACGAGGCTGGACTTGCCACCAGGGGGGTTTCTCCGGGATGGCACGGGCGCCGGTGCCACTGGGCTGGGCACAGGGGCAGCGGGCACAGGCTTCTCCTCGCTCTGCCCCAGGCTGGCCTGCAAGTCTGTGTCTACGTTTTCTAGGAAAACAGAATGAAATTAAGGCTAATAACTATTCCCAGTGAAGATGAAAAGCCTAAGTGTTTTGGCTTTTTTTTGAGGATGGTTCAAACCATACCTAGAGCTATAAAGAAGAAACCAACAATCACCAACCATCTGGCAGCCACTATCCAGAATTAACCACTGTTAATGTTTTGCCATATTTGTCCCCAGATCTTTTTCTGTGTACGTTCCTTTCTAAATTACAGAAATATATGAAGACATAAATATTTTAAATGAGAACATTACAGACAAGCTCTAGGCCCGTCTTCCCTGACGGTCCAGTGGTTAAGGCTCCGCGTCCCCAATGCAGGGGGCCCGTCACAATATCTGGTCGGGGAACTAGGTCCCACACACATGCCGCAGCTAAAAGCTCTAGGTCCCTGACCACCGCTCCACCTTTATGTGGGTCTCCACTCCCTATACACAGAGGCCCTACTACTAGTTGTGTGCATTCCTCTAGTCCATTTGTTTTATGTATATTTTGTGTATTTTATTTCCAGCAAATTACATAGAATAGTGTTTTTGTTGTATTTAGCATAACTAATATCAATTTTTTTTTTAACTTTTGGACATTTACCCCCACTTACACACATGGTCATGATTCACCTTGCTTAAATAATTGCTTTATATTATGTACAGAATATATATGATTAAGCCTCTACCGATAGCAAAAAATTGAAACTAATCCAACCATTCCGAAACCGTAATGCGCGCACTCTGGAACGTGTGCCCACGGGGACACGAGCTGTCATCTTCAATTTGAACAGATTACACACCACCTTCCCCAGTGGCTGTACAAGTTCCACCCCACTGCCCGTGTCAGAGTATGCTCTCCCTACATCTTTCCATTTCCACCACTTGATAACCATCTCACCTTAATATTTGACGAACTGATGGGTGAAAAATATTTTTAAATTCCTGTTATATGTTACATTTTCATGATTAATGGGTGAGGTTGATTTTTTTTTTAAACGATACAATATCCAGTTGTACAGACATTTATTAAAGAATCTCCCTCCCCGCTACTGATCTGTAATATGTTAACCCAGTCACTCCCATCATGTTAACCCGGCACTTTCCACATTAAAGTCTTAAGAATTAGTGTATTATTATCCGATATCCTAAATATTGCTTGATTGATTCCCTGACTGATTTGTGAAATTCCCAACAAGCATATATCCTTAAACAGGTAGTTTCCATTGGATCAAAGTCAAGAGTGACTGCAAAAGAAAAAACGCTAGGGACTTCCCCAGTGGCGCAGTGGTTAAGAATCCATCTGCCAGTGCAGGGGACACAGGTTCGAGCCCTGGTCCGGGAAGATCCCACATGCTACGGAGCAATTAAGCCCGTGTGCCACAACTACTGAAGCCCGCGCACCTAGAGCCCGTGCTCTGCAACAAGAGAAGCCACCGCAATGAGAAGCCCGCGCACCGCAACTAGAGAAAGCCCACGCGCAGCAACGAAGACCCAGCACGGCCAAAAATAAATAAATAAATGAATGAATAAACTTTTAAAAATAAATAAATAAACTTCCTGGACTTTTCCCCTCTTTCTTCAAGATTTCCAAAGTCCTCCCTGTAGCCATTCCTGTGTTTAATTACCCAAAAGATGATGGCAGCATTTCCAAGCGAAATATGTTTATTTCAACTGAGCAGGACAGCCTCGCTTTGCAGTGAAATTGCCAACAGAACTGGGGTCGACCTTTACTCACCAGACCTGTCCTGAATGATTATGCCCTTGTCATTTTATGACAAATGAGCTGCAAGTAGAAGCAGGAACACAGAATAATCAGGTGGCAAAACTGATGATCATTTGAAAAGAAAAAGGAAGGACTTGCTCTGTACAGCTGCCTGTGCTATTCGTTCACCTCAAGGATCTGCAACACTGAGCTGGGGGTGGGGGGGAGAATTAATCATTGGCAAATGCCTTCTCTTTTCCTAACTTCAGGGCTCTCACTTCTCTGGGCTCCCCAAATTTCTCATTATATCCATTGGCCAAAATTAGTGAAAGATGAGCTTGATGGTTGCTAAACAAGGTCTGACACTGGAAGTACTTCAGAATATGAAAAGCAGCAGAATCAAAAAGCCTAGATTTTCTTTACCTCTAGAACAATCTTTTTAGATGGAACAAGTTGGACAGGAACAATAACTAATACACCTTCAGTCCAGTGAGAACCTAATCTGTCCGTGGAGGGAAAACCCAGGTAATGCTCAATGGTTCAGAAGATTCTCCTCCCGTCACGCCCAGCAAGAAACGATGAGAGGACAGAAGGGGAATGTGATTCTCGTTAAACATTTCTGTTTCCCTGGAAGATTGACTCACAAATTGTAATGGCAGAAAAAGGCCTTGAGGAAGCGGCTTCATCCTCCTAGATCAGGGCGCCCTGTGACGGCTGCATGTCACTGAGTCAACTTTAACCTGACTGCTGCTGGCCGACATGCGTAAACCTCTCATCACACGCGCCGGCAATTCTCTGGCGCTTGTTGAAGAAGTGCCAATAAGTACTTCAAAGGTTTTAAATAATCAAATGATTACAGCTCATTTCCACATGTAATTGGTGATATGGGTGCTAAATGAAAACTTCACCGGCCCGCTAAGTCATCATTCACGAGATCACAGGGTTACAGCACCTCAGTATAAAATCAAACAAATTTTCTAAATTAAATGCTGAGGGCTGACTTGAAATGCTAGAGACTTTTACTAAAAAGCTCTCATCGAGTGTAACAAATACCAACCTGATTAACGCCCGTCTGTTCTTAAAGGATTCTCCAGTGGTTTTCCTTTCTAGTACGTTTCTAGCATTGCCCTCACTGCTGGCCGATACCAAACGTGGCCACACTTGCTAGCTTTCCAGTTTCATTTTGCCTTCCTCTCCGCCCAGAGGGTGCTGGCGTTGGGGTAAAGCCAGGTTCACTCCCCAGTCTCCTTCCCCAAGACATGACTTGAATACAAATTCCAGTCTATTCTAACATTTACAGAACCAGAAGTTGTGATACTTTTTCAGAAGTACTCACCATGAACATCACCTTCTCCCTGGAAAAGAAAAAAATTAACAATTTACTTCAGATTTTAATTTTGCCACACACAAAGAAAAACAGAGTTCAGAGAAGCTACTGTCTGTTTGAAGCCAAATGTGAAGTTTTGTTTTGATGTAGTCAAGTTCAGGGTCACGCTGCCATTACAGTAAACAAACTTTATTCACCCTGGGACAATGCTACACAGAAATGCTGCTGGACAAATCGTCCCGGTGCCAGTAACATGCCCCGAACACCAAAAAACCTTAACATTTACGCTGATGACCTAATATCAATTCGCATTTCAGAGGATCTTTTATCAGAAAATTGGTAAACCTGTCCTTCCACTCCCCCCTCCTTTCTCCTAATCTAGCTGTTGAAGGGCCTCCATCAATTCCAAAGCCTTTCTACAGGTCTCCCCACACCCAGATGGCTGATGCCTCCATGTGCTCTGAGGTCCCTACTCAGGGGGACATCCTACCAGGCTTTCCAAACACATAGCTGGGGCTCACAGGCCGTGATCACCTGCAGACAAAGAATGGTAACACCATGGTATACAGCCTCCTGGAGTTCAGCTCAAAACAACTGGGCAACCTCTGCCAACAACTAAAACAGTCCTTGAGCTCAGATATGCTACTATGTGTGAGATACACACGGAGTACGAGTGATCCAGTTTCAAAAATCAATACTGAAGGACAGAGACTAATCCTAGTGGTAGCAGAGACATACGAACAGACCAAGATCCCATTGACTCACCTTTCTGAC